AGTTATAGTAGTTATAGTAATCTTCAGCATTTCTTACACTTTTGTGAGAAAAATTACATCACTTGTATCAATAATTTTATCTGTTGTAGAACTTCACAAGCAATAGATTGAATATCTGTGAAATTTAATAAGCTTATATGAATCAGCTCATACAGATAACTTATTCAACAGCTTCTATAATTCATGAAGATGAGTAAAAACATCAGTTTCAAGCTCATGAAAATGTGTGATCTGCAGTGAGACATTCATCAATGCTGAAAAAGAAATTGTATAAGAGTTATGAACAGCTTCTTTACTATTATCATCTGCAACTGCAGGTCAATACTTTTCATTATATAGAACTGTAGATATGAGTGTATTATTTATGATTGAAACAACTGTTTTTAGAATATCTGTTCAGAATTTCTTCAGAATCTTCTTGCTAATAAAAACTGCTCTGACATGAGTCATAATCATATATATTTCATGCTCAGACACATCATCTTAATGTAGTGATTAAGAAGTAGTTGATTTTCATACTGTGTCATAATTAATGAATAATGCTGTAATCTTCATGAATCTGAACATATTATTAACATCAGTTCTGACATATACTGATACAGTAAAACCTAGATTCTTCATGAATTGAACTCAGTGCACATAGTAATTGTAAGCTTGATTCTTGATATATAAGAAATAGATTCATCTATATCTGATCACATCATCTGTGATTAACATGTAATATTTATTATTCTGTCACAATTCAACAGAGTGATCTGTAGACTTACTCAATATTCACTCATCACCTGCAAGATTGATATGAATTCACTTCATTGAGTGTACAGTCTGTGACATGAAAGTGATTGAGTATTTATATATCATACCTGCTTTAATACAGATGTTGCAAAAGAAATTGATCTTGATACTTTTAACATAGATGTCAGATAGTGAATTCTTTGTCAATACTATAATAGCTTCCATGTGTATATGTCTCAGATCAACATGTCACTTCATAAGTGTTTTCATAATTGTAGATGATTCTTGATGTTGAGATTGATCAATGATGAGATTATTATTGCTAATAGTGATCATGACTTTAGCATAGTCATTATCATATACATATGATTTTACTGTGAAGTAGACTGCTTTAGACTTATGATGTATATCAACTTCTGACATTCTTTCAACTATTTTATAAATTGAGTTTTGAGATGTACAGATTGCAGTGAAAATCACTTCACTTGATACTTTAATAATGAAATAGAATAAGGTGTTTGAGCTTGAAAGCTTATATTGAAAACTCTGATTCTTCAACCTGATAAATGACAATAGATTAACTGTGAGATTAAGAACATAATGAATATCATGAACAGTGATATTCTCTTCTTCAGATTCTAGAAGAAGATCACTGATCTCTTTGACATGACTGTAATCTTTATCTGCTATATGAATCTTCATATTATCATCATACATCTTTCACTGAATGAGGGACTGCTTTTCACCTGTCATATGAAAACTCACACATGTGTCAAGAAATCAAGATTTGCTTATTATATTAATAGTTGCTGAAAAAGCAATTGCTGTGTTGACAGCTGCAGGTTATAAGATCATAAGATCAGAGAATTTCTTCTTCTTATCATCTTTGTTCTTCTTTTTACTCTTTCACTTGCCATGTTCACTGATACTGACATTGTTACTATTGTTCTTCTCAGATGTAATGATATATTTCTTATTTAACTCACATCACTGTTCAGTAGCAAGTTCTGAATGCAGACATTAACAGGTGTTTTTTCAGTGTCATCTTGAACTGCATATCTCACATTTGAAACTGAATGTGAATAATGTAGAGAGAGTCATGATAGTTGTATTGACTTACTGAGACTTAGAATTTTCATCCTTGAACTTGCTTGTACAGTTTGTCAACTATTTTATAAGATCATTAATATCAATATTGTATATAGAGTTCTGATCAGACATGTAGAAATCATTTAAACATGTCTTGATAAAAGACTTTTAATGCTTCTTCAGATCAATAAGAAAGAGATTGTGATAGAAGTCTTCTGAGTTATTTATCAATTTCTTATGATGTGTAACTAGATAACAGAATCTTCTCTGAAATATCAGATAATTGTTATCTCTGATATGTAAGATGATGAATTCTTTCACAATATTTATACATTTCTTCACAAGTGAGACAGCATATTTAACTTCAATTCTTTCTCATAGCACAGCTGCATTATCTGGCTCAAGAGTTTCAATGATTGTATATACAGATTCTAATAAGAACTGCAATATATATTAATACAGTGCTTTGATATAAATGCTTCATTTTTTAGCACTTAATATGTCTTAACTGATGTCTTCTGAACAGACATGTTGATTCTTTATAAGAATGTCAGATTCACTGATGACTTCAGCATCTGCAAGAATTTCTGTACATCAGATCTCATAGTTATTGCTATCAAATGTAATTACAGCTTTAGTATTCATGACTTTTTGAACATTCTTTTGATATTCACAGATCTCAGATTTGAAATCATCTGCTGCAGAGATGACTACTCAATACACACTCATTCTATTATAGAACATTATCAGATTATTGAATGTTATTGATATTATATTATCTGAACTCATTCTAGACATGATACTTGTGTGTCACACTTCTGTACATGTTGCTTATGAGCTTAAGATGTCATCATTCAATTCATGATCTGCTTCACTGTTTACAGATAACTTTATAATCTCTTCTGTGACTTCTGTGTATTATGTAGTATCTATTTTCTCTGATTCTTCATTGATAGATGTCTGAGTGTGAGAATGTGAATATAAAGTTCTTCTTCTATCACTCTGTGACATAGACATACTACTCATCAGTCAAAGAAGAATTGAATGAAGGAATTGAAAAGAAAAAACATGTTATATTATATTATAGAATTCTGCTATTTCAATCATCAGTCAAGCAGATACACTTGAAATATGCAATGTAAACATGGTAAAAGAATTCTCCTATTCAGAGTGAACACATTCAATGCTTACACAGGTGTTTTTAAACAAAAGTAAAAAAAAAATGTAATTCTTTGTAAAAACATGCTATTCAGACTTATAATCTGTGAGATGATTAATCTGTTATATTCATGTAGAAAGAGCTAGCTATATATATTACATATGAGATCACGTGTAGGCGGAGCGGTCGCTACGGCAACGCCACTAGGGCGGATACTACATAGAATGCTGCGTGTTATCTCAGTGAGCTCAGATCTCTGACTCGGTTTGAACAGGTTACAGACTAATGTTACAGAATGAAGATTAACTTTACCAGAGTGAATAGCAGCAGTATACTAGATCATATTGAAACTGAATCTTGAAGAAGAAGAAGAAGAAGAGGAAGAAGCTATCTAAGCTAGAGATGAGTAAGTGAATATGAGATGATAAGACTTGTGTGAGTTATCTGATCATGCTTTATACTCTAAGATTCTTATATTCTGCCTTCTCATCTCTGCCGCGGGTCCTTCCTTCTGTGATTAAAAATACATAAATATGTGATATATTAATATTTGTGATTCATTGCTAGCAGAATGAGTCTAGAAATTCATTACTAGTAGAATAAGTTCTGCTCTAGTCATAGTCAGCAGAACAAGCTCTATCTCAGAGTTTCTAGCAGAACATACTCTGCTCTAGAGATTATAGTAGCAGAGACTCTCAGCTCTACTATATATTAGAATTATATACTAGCAGAATAAGCTCTGCTCTAAATTCAGTACTGATTATTATATTAGATCACTGTGTTGATATTATTATGATCTATGATATTGAACTTGAAATGAGAAAAGCATATCTACTTGATTAATTATTCTAGCTGATATACTGAGAATAGTGTTACTGAGTGAAGAAGACTGCAGTCAGTGTAAATAGTGCTTATAAAAGATCTCTATATATAATTGAGTATTGATAAGATGAGCAGAGTACATTCACTTATCAGACTGAGATTCTTTTTCAAGTTAATATATGAGAAACTTGACTTTGTTTTCTCTTATAAGTTTCACATCTAGAATCTCATCAATATCATAGTCTTCATCTGCATTGTCTATCTCTGAGTGAATAATCTCTGAGAATGTGTGATTGTTATTGATTTCTATAACTCTGTAAGATTCTAGAAGAGAGACATGGAAAACATTATATATACAGTATAATGAGAATAGTGATAGCTTGTAGACTTGAATATCAATATGTTTTTATACTGTGAAGAGTTCTAGAAACTTATGATTCAACTTCTTATTAGAGCATCTTATTTTTATATTTTTATTATTGAGAAAGACTAGATCTTCTTCTTTGAATTCTTGAGAATTATTGTGAACATAGTAAGTCATGAAATCTTAGATATATAGTAGATAGAAGTAAGTCTCTTCTTGAGCTTCTCTGATTAGTACTGTGTGATATTCAGTATCTGAGTGATTCAGTTCTGAGACTGAGAAGTCAGATATAGTCAGCAGTGATAAATGATGTTCTAGATTCATGAAAAAGAATGTGATATCTAGTACTGAATGAACTGAATTACTATATACAAACTCTGCAAGAGCTAGAAGATTCACTCAGTTGATTTGAAGATAATCTATATAAAGATGAATATAGATTTCTAACTCTCAGTTCTGTCTTTCTATTTATTCATCAGTCTGTGAATAATATACTGTTGAAAGTCTGTGATCTGTGCTCAGAGTTTGTAAGAGAGTTTGTCAAAATTCTGAGATAAATAGATGAGTGAAAGTATCATGAAAGTATTTTAGAAGAAGTTGCTTTGTAAGAAGATATTTAGAGACTATAATATAATTCTGATAGAAAAGCAGTTCATTTTCAATAGCTTAATTCTCTAGATGATTGTGATCAGTAAGAGAGATAAGAGATTCAAGATTCTCTGAAAGATGCTGATGTATAATGTCTAGAAGCAGGCTGAGAGTGAAGTCATCACTATAATACATATCTGCAGCTATTAACATAGCAGCTATTTTGACTTAATAAAGATGATCTTACAATCTGTTCAGAAAGTGATGAAAATTGTTGACCAACCGCTCCACCACGAACTCGCTCGATTTTTCGAATAAGAACCCGCCGATAGATCCATCGAAAAGCCCTCGATCATACGAGCATTTTGACCCCATCGCCGACCGCATACCCTGTGTGGTGGTGGAGTTATCCAGCCAAATGTGAACTGGACGTTGTTCGAAGCTCCTGTGTGGGATTATCCCCCGTTCTCCCCTACCACACCACAACCCCGGGCCAGAGTGCCATACAAATTGTAAGGTGAAGTGACCTAGCCATATGCACCAATCTTCTCGATTTTGGAAGACCCCCGACCTGTAGTTGTGGAGATATCCGAGGAGCGACCTCCGCGAAAACCCTGTCCATCTTTGATGTTCCAAAACACCAACGCCAAGTCTCACCCTCGTACCGCCCTTCCCAATCTGGCCCATCCCCGGCAGAAAAATACAAAAAGATACCTCAGCGATAATATCAAGCACATAATCAACAGACTCTTCTGAAGTGCAACCTCCACAGTCCGCCGCCAGTGTATCTAGACTTCAACACCAAGTCTCACCCCTGTACTACCCCTCTCAATCTGGCCCATCCCCAGCAGAATGATACAAAAAGATACCTCAGTAACAGTATTCAATACATAATCAGTGAACAATGAGTCAACAGCACATCAACAACTATAAAATCAGTATATCTCAAGATCTGACTGAGCCTTTGATCCCTGCACAGTGAGATATATTAAATCTAGTTTTAATATCTCAATATTCAATAGATTCTGCAAGGGATTGAGAACAGCAACACTAGATTTCTATTGAATTTGAGAATTAACTCTATATTAATATAATCATTGACAAAGTCTTCTATTTTGAGATATAAATAACCAGTTCCTCTACATCCTGCTGGCAATATTTATATTATCATATAGAAACAGACTTATATTCTCTATAATATCAAGACTCTGAAGAGAGAAAGTCTTGATAGAGAATATATAGTAGTGCATATCTTAGCAGTTTCTATCTCATTCTTCTACAGCAGTTAATGCAAAAAAAAAAAGATCTTAGAAATAGTTTTTTACTTCTCTTGAAAAAGTAAGATGTTTTTCTCTGAGTTTTACACAATATTCTTACAAAGAATTAAAAACAGAGTTGTTTTCTGTCATAATTTCATATTCTTTTAAGTAAGAATTACTTTTTCAGTGGCTGAAGAGCTTTTATTAATACTTAATTCTTTTTTACACTTTTTATTAACTGATTTGAGTTGCACACTTGTTATTATTATTATTATTCTTCAATTATAGATGTATGCAGTCAGAGACTATGACATCTACCTGAGAACTTTAGTTCTCAGGGTTTTTTCTATGTCTGTAAAGTTAACTATTATACATTCATCAATTTCAGATATGCAAAATCAGAAAATTCCAGCCCAGAATACAAAAACTGTGTTGCACACTTGTGTGAGAAGAATTGAATGATTTAGAATAAAATTGAATAGTTTTAATCAATTTCTCTGCAAAAAATTGATTTATTTTTTGTCAGTTTTTCTCTCAAAAACTGTCATATCATCTGATTTATTATCAATTGATATCATACTTTTTCTCACTGTATCCCAAGAAAGAGATTGTAAAGATTTTATTGATTTATCTTAAAAATCAATTTTAGTTTATTAGATTCTCTTCAAAAATCTAACCTAGTTACTGAACTAGTGTGAAAAAAATCAGGTGTTTTATACACAAAAGTCTTTTATTCTTCTTTTGAAACAGTCTGATCAACTTTTCAATTGAAAACAGACTTAGAAATATCTCAATTGAAACAGTCTGATCAACTTTTCATTGAGTGAAAACAATGAGTTCAAAAATACACTCAGTTGATGTGGAAAAAGATGCTTTCTCAAATGCTATTCCTGAGATTGAAATTCTGAAGAGAAGAAAGAAAGAAGAAATAGAGAAACAACAAGTTCTTGAAATACAGAAACTTGAAAAAGCAAGCAAGATTCTTGAAAAGCAGTGTCTGAGTGAGATGAATGAAGAAGTTCTGTTAATTCTTCATGCTCAGGTCAGACAACTACAGAAGATGATCAAGTTCAAACTTGGAATCTCAAACACAGTTCAAAAAACCTTGAAAATTCCTAGTACAATCACTGACTCTTCATCTTACTCTTCTTCTTTCTTTCTTCCTACTTCTTCTTCTTCTTTGAATCAGAAGAAAACATATGCTCAAGCAGCTGAATCTGCTGTCTCTAAACCTGCTGTCTCAAAACCTGCTCAAAATCCTGAGAAAACTGAGAAGAATACTGCTCATGCCTCTATTCATAGAAAAGTGAAAAAGAAAATGCAAAAAGAGAAAAACTTTCAAATCTCTAGAAATAGAAGACTCATTCTCAAAGTCTCAAACCAGGACATTCTGCAAAGAAACAAGCTAAACTCAAATCTCATTTTCAGAATCAGAAATGAAATTAATCAGCAGTTCTTTTCTCAGTTGATGACTGATATTGAAGTTTAAAAACCAGTTATAGCTTCAATTGAGTCATCATTCTTTGAAAACTCTATTATTCTGACTACAATGCCTGAATTCAGTGCTGAATTCCTTATTCAGAATGAGAATCTCTGAAAGTCAGCAGTAGAATCATTGCTAAACACAATAATTCTATCTAAAAGAGATGAAAAGTGAGACAAATTCATTCTTCATGATATTTCAGTTGAAATTTTTGACTGTGAAGAAGAAATGCTACTTCTCAAAAATGAATTGAAAGAATACAACTTCATTCAACTGAGAAAGAAGCCTGTATGACTAAATTCAATTGAGTTCAGACAAAGCAGGAGAAATGCCTCTGTTCTAGTATATATAAAAACACTTGAACAGTCAAAGATCTCTGAAGTAAGAGTAGCAGGTTTGAAAATGAGAGTTCATGAATACAAAGACTCAAGAATGAATCTCAAAGCTCAAACACAGTGTTCAAACTGTCAAAGATATGAACACTTTGCAATCTCATGTTTTAGAGACTCAAAATGTGCATTCTGTGCCAGAGATCACAAAACTAGTGAGCATAAATGTGAAACATGCTCAAAAAGAGGTGAAATTTGTCAACATACTCTGCTTAAGTGCTCTAATTGCAAAGAAAAACATGCATCTAGCTCAAAAGAATGTATGTTTGCTTCTAGAACTCAAAAGAACTGGAGAAAAGATGAAGCTCAAAGTCAATCTAGAACTGAAGAGAAGAGTCAAGCCAGTAAACTCACAACTGCAAGCTCAAAAAGAAGAAACTCTCAATTATCTAAGTCTTCAAACTTCAATTCTTCAGCAAAATGTAAACAGAATTTGAATCCTCAAACTTCTGTTAAGATTAGAGAATTGAGAAATGACTCTGATGATAAACTAGATATAATGCAAGCAGTTGAGATTTCTACTTTTCAGAACAGTTATAATCTACTATCTGATGATAGTGATTAGATTCTTCTCTACTCTCTTTTAGTATAAATATACAACAAAAACAACAAAAAAAGTTTAAAAACTCTTCAAAAATCACATTTATTCAAAATAATGTGAATAGAAACTCAAATTGCATTTATTCTTGTCTTCAAATTGTATTTGAACAAAAAGTTGATTTTGTACTGCTTCAGGAGCCGAATTTTAATGCTGAGCAAAAATATGTCATTTCTCATTCAAGCTACTACTGCTTTTTATCTCAAAAGTCTGAGATAAAGTCAAGAGTAGTGATCTATGAAAGAAAGAGATTAAGATATCAATTTAATCTAAGATTTGATATCATATCTGACTCTGATATTCTGATGAGTGATATTATAGATAAAGAAAATGAGTTTGATACTATACAGCTTATAAATATCTATAATGAAAAGTCATTGAAGAAAAATAACAATATCTGAACAATTGATAAAGAATTTCTGAACATAACTTCATCAAGAAACTCTATAATTGTGGAAGATTTCAATACACATCATCTCTGATAGAATTCAGAATGCAAGAGAGTAGTGAGAGCTGATAATCTGATTAAATGAATCTTTGAGCATTCAATAGATTTAGTGAATAAGTCTGATCAACAAACATTCTTTAGAAAAGGCATGAAACAGAAGTCTATTATAGATCTAATCTTCATGTCATAAAATCTAATGAAAAGAAGACTTGTAAACTGATTTATTGATTCAAATGAGACATCAGAATCAGGTTATGAGATTATTCAATTTAATATTGAACTGAGTGAAAAACAAATGAGTGAAAATCCTCTTCTCTCTAATCAGTATAACTTTGAAAAAGCTGATTGAAAAGCAGTTGAAGAAAGTATAAAACTGTTTAAATCTGAAAGACAGAATAAGCTATATTGAAATTCTGGTCAAGATATCTCAAATGAAATGCTTAAGAATAGAGTTAAGCTTATTACATCTATTATTCTAACAAGTGTTAGAGATAATATTTCAAAGAGAAAATCTTCTGAGTATTCAAAACCTTGATGAAATGAGAATATCTCATCTAAAAGAAAAGAATTAGCTACTGCTAGAAGAGATTGAAAGAATGATGTAATATCTGATGAAGAGTTCAAAGCTGTCAGAAATGAATACTTTTCAGATATTAAAAGAGCTAAAACAGACTGCTGGAATAAATTTCTTGAAGAAGCATAAGAGAAGAAAGTTTTTAAAGCTTTTAACTATACTAAAACAAGAAGTGTAGCAAAACTTCCAGTCTTAGAATATGAGTTTCAGAATGAATCATATACAGCAAACTCTTTTGAGAAAAAATATCAAGCTTTTATGAGAATTCTCTTTCAGAACTCACCAGATTCAGATTCAGATTCAGAGAAAGAGAATATATCACTTCTCAACTACATTGATGAAAATGACTGAGAATGGCCTGATCTTATACAAGATGAATTAGAGTCAGCTATTTTCTCAAGTTCTGTTAAAACTGCTGCAGGTCCTGATTCAATTAATCACTTAATTATTCAAAATATATATTCCTACTTAAAGAATGAATATTTTGAGGTCTTTTTCAATCTCTTGAAAAATGAATATCATTCTGAATGCTGAAGAGAAGCCACTAGAGTGATTCTTATAAAACCTAATAGAAAAACTTCAATTCCTAAGTCATATAGAGTAATATCTCTATTGAACTGCCTAGGAAAGGTTTTAGAAAAGATAATAGCTACTCAACTATCTTTTATAAGCTTTATAAATGATTCTCTTTTATTCAGTGAATAAATGAGAGATAGAAAACAGTGTTCTGCAATTGACACTGTTCTCTCACTTATTTATGATATTCAAATAGCAAAGCATGAAAGTCTGGTCTCAACTGCAGTTTTTATTGATATAAAAGAAGCATTTGATCATGTTTCAAAGTCAAAGTTAATTCAGACATTGAAGATATTAAAACTGCCACTTTCCCTAATAAAATGAGTTAACTGTTTTATGTCTAAAAGAATTATACAACTCTTCTTTGATGAAATGAAACAAGACAAGACTGAGATAAAAATAGGAGTAT